TTTTCTCATGACCATTCTTTTTGTCCTCTTATTCTGGGACTCCTATAATTCGAATGTTGGGGTGTTTAACATTGTCCCAGAGGTCTCTGAGGTTGTCCTCATTTCTTTAATTATTTTTTCCTTTCTGCTTCATTTATTTCCACCATTCTATCTTCCACTTCATTTATCATATCTTCTGCCTCAGTTATTCTACTGTTAGTTCCTTCTAGAGTGCATTTGATCTCACTTATTACATTATTCATTATTGATTGACTCTTTTTTATTTCTTCTAGGTCCTTGTTAAACATTTCTTGCATCTTCTCAGCCCTTGTCTCTAGACTATTTATCTGTAACTCTTGTTTTTGAGACTTTGGATATTCTCTACTATCATTATTCTGAATTCTTTTTCAGATAGAATCCCTATCTCCTCCTCTTTTGTTTGGTTTGGTAGATATTTATCATGTTCCTTTACCTGCTGAATATTTCTTTGCCTTTTCCTTTTGTTTATAGCTTGCGTCCATGTTCCGGTGGGTGGAGCTGTGTCTCTTGTCTCTGGAGCACAATGAAGTGTCCAGCAGTGAGTTTTGGGGTGTGTATGGGTTTGGCATGACTTTGGACAGCCTGTATTTTAATGCTCACGTCTAGGTTCCTGTGTTGCTGGAGAATTAGCATGATATGTCTTGCTCTGGAACTTGTTGGCTCCTCAGTGAAGATTGGTTTCAGTGTTGGTATGGAGGCTTTTGGATGAGCTGTTGTCAATTAATGTTCCCTGGAGTCAGGAGTTTTTTTATATTCTCAAGTTTTGGATTTAAACCTCCTGCCTCTGTCTTTCATTCTTATTCTTACAGTAGCCTCAAGACTTCTCCATCCATACAGCATAGATGATAGAAACTTCTAGGTTAGTGGTGAAAAGATTCTTCACAGTGAAGGACACCCAGAGAGGTTCACAGAGTTTCATGGAAAACAGAAGAGGGAGCAGGGGGATAGAGGTGACCAAGAGGAGAAGAGGGGGAGTCAAAAGGGGAAGAGACCAATCTAGCCAGTGATCAGTTCCCTGAGTGTTCAAAGAATGGATGCTTTTGAACTGTGGTGTTGGAGACCACTCTTGAGAGTCCCTTGGACTGCAAGGAGATCCCACCGGTCCACCCTAAAGGAAATCAGTCCTGAATATTCATTGGAAAAACTGATGTTGAAGCTGAAACTCCAACACTTTTGCCACCTGATGCAAAGAGCTGACTCATTGGAAAAGGCCCTGATGTTGGGAAAGATTGAAGGCAGGAGGAGAAGGGGACGACAAAGGATGAGGTGGTTGGATGGCATCACTGACTCAATGGACATGAGTTTGAGTAAGCTCCAGGAGTTGGTGATAGACAGGGAGGCCTTGCATTCTGCAGTCCATGGGGTAGCAGAGAGCCAGATATGACTGAGCAACTGAACTGAACTGAACTGAGTATCCTCCCATCCAATCCAACATTTCCAAAGTGACTGTGAAGACCAGAATCAGAAGTCCAACTGCATACACTCTGCTATACAAGTGGGAGAATTTAAATGTTGTTCTTGACCTCTGTTACTACCAACTAAACCAGAAAACATTCATTCCTGGTGCCTTTGACATTGGCCAGCTGTAGCCCATTTGGAGGTCACGTCTATGTAGGAACTAAAGCACATATCCAGTTAATAATTTAGGTCTAGTAGTATTTTCCCAGAGAAGGCAATGGCAGCCCACTCCAGTACTCTTGCCTGGAAAATCCCATGGATGGAGGAAGCTGGTAGGCTGAAGTCCATGGGGTCACTAAGAGTCGGACACGACTGAGCAACTACGCTTTTACTTTTCACTTTCATGCATTGGAGAAGAAAATGGCAACCCACTCCAGCGTTCTTGCCTGGAGAATACCAGGGATGGGGGGAGCCTGGTGGGTTCCGTCTATGGGGTCGCACAGGGTCAGACACGACTGAAGTGACTTAGCAGCAGCAGCAGCAGCAGCAGTATTATTTTCCCATGACTTGGACCAGACATCTGGGTTTTGGCCCAATGTTTGGAATAAGTTCTACATCTTGAGTATTTGCTGAATCTTGTAGATTGTAAACAGCTCAAACACCATGGGTAGCTGCTCAGTGTTCTCTGCTCATGACTGTGGGAATGGCCTCTTCTTCAAACTACTAGCATCCACTGTTACTTGAAGCATAAGAGGATAGAAGACCATGCTTTCCATGGCTTAAATGTTGTGAACAGTGACAGCTCCCTGCCTGAGCTGTCAGTCATCTTGTTCCTGCAAGCATTGCACCTACTCCACGGTCCTATGAATGGACCAATGGTCACCTGTTGCCCACCTCTTTGATTCGTAGTGATCCAATCGTTAAGAAATATCAATTCTTCAGTCCAGTTGCAGAAGGGATCATGCTGTCAGAATACCCTTTTCCCCTCATTTGTGGCCCGTTGCATCTTAACACTTTCTCTCTATGCAGCTCAGAGAGTGGAACACAAGCTCCTTTCCCTGTGATGAATACAATGCTCACTAGGGACAACTTTCTTGACCAGACTGTCCCCTCCCACTGCAGTAAAAGGATCCATAGCCCTCTCCCCTGTCCCATGATGGTTTAGTCCTTTTTCTCCTTCTGCCCAGGACACCTCTAGAGCATCTCTGATTAATTATCATCAGAAATGTCTCTGATGAACACTTATACTATTAAAGGTCTATGTCTCTAGATAGTTAAATTTAACGTGCACATTTGTGTGTTTTAAAATGGAGACTTTCGGTGAAGACACACATGAGTCTTGTGTATATTAAACTAATTTATTTAAACTCTCAGAAGTCATGCACCATCAGACATGACATGATTAGTAACTAGGAGAGATGAGGAGGGAAAGGGAGTGTGAGTGTGAAGAGAGAAGGATCATGCTAATCAGGAACCAGGAAAGTCGTCTTCGTGTTGTTGATCTTGATTGCATGGAGATGAGGATGTGCCTAGTCTCCGGGACTCTTTCTGTAGGTGAATAAAAGAGAACCAAAGGTTTAGTAGCAGAAGGCAATGGCAACCCACTCCAGTACTCTTGCCTGGAAAATCCCATGGGCGGAGGAGCCTGGTAGGCTGCAGTCCATGGGGTAGTGAAGAGTCACACACGACTGAGCGACTTCACTTTCACTTTTCACCTTCATGCATTGGAGAAGGAAATGGCAGCCCACTCCAGTGTTCTTGCCTGGAGAATCCCAGGGACGGGGGAGCCTGGTGGGCTGCCATCCATTGGGGTCACACAGAGTCAGACACGACTGAAGCGACTTAGCAGGAACAGGAGCAGCAAAGATTTAGTAGAGTCAACTCTGTGATGGTGACAGGCGTGAGCCTCAGGCAGTAGGCTGTCCAGGGTACAGGAGTTGGTAGGTGATCCAATGTCAGAATCCTGGTGGACCTCACTATTCCACATCTCCGTGATGAAGATGGGGGAGTCTTCCCAAGGAGGCACATATGGTGAGACCCTTCCCATTATTGTTGGATTCTACAAACTATGATTTTAGAATGCATGTTCAGACTGTGATTGGCACATGTCAGTAATCCCATAAGCTGTTTGTTTTGGGTCTTCAAGAATCAATTATTTATTTTTTATTGGAGTGTACTTGACTAGCGTGTTGTTTCACGCTATGCCATAGTGCACTAGTTTCACGTATGCCATAAAGTGATTAATTTATGCATACAGATATTAATATCTGTTCTTTTCAGATTCCTTTCCTATTTAGGTTTTTACAGAATATTGATTATAGCTCCCTGTGCTATGGAGTTTGACCTTGTTTTCTATCCATCCTGTATATAACATTTTGCATCCGCTAACCCCAAACTCCTAATCCTTCTCTTCCCCAACCCCTTTCCTTTATGAATCGCAACTCTGTTCTCTACGTCTGTGAGTCTGTTTCTGTTTTGTAAATAAGTTCCTTAGTGCCATATTTTAGATTCTACATTTAGGTAATAGAATGTGATAGTTATCTTTCTCTTTCTACTTACTTCACTTGGTATGACAGTCTATAAGCCCGGCCATGTTGGTGCAGATGGTGTGATTTCATTGTCTTTTATGCCTGAGTAATATTCCATTGAATATATGTGCTACATATTTCTTATCATATTCCCCTGGAAACTAGTTTTCTTTGGCTTATTTATTTCATTTTCTTTTCCTCAAGAGAAAATTAAAAACCACACTTTAGCTTAGATCAATGTCATCTTCTGAGGCTGTCTTAATGTAGAAAGTTTAAAGATCTCACTTTAAGTAAATCCACATCTGACGGGGAATACAGTTCAAATACATGTTTCAGACACTGTGATTGGAAGGCCTTTGCTGGTTCTGTCAGAATTACATGAGATTAAACACTGATCTTGTAGTTAATGTGCACTCTGTCTAATCCCAGTTCTTCTGGATGGGGGATGTGTGTGGACAACCATGAAGTCAAGACTGACAGGAACACTAAGTAATTTCCTCCAACTTGTGGGGATTCCTGTTTCTTTGTGGTGAGTCAGGTCTGCAAGATCCCTGCAGGTTAAGGCTCTCTCACCCTAGCTGCTCAGCATGAATCAAGCAACAAATCTGCAATTTAATACAGCTCAAGAGAAGAGGAAGTACCTAATGTAAGGATAGAATGTAAGTGGTTGAGAGAAATAACCATTGCCTACAAAATTTGACAGGTATGAAATCGCCATGTGTCCTTATTGATTTATTTACTGGAGTGACATTTGTAAACTATTTTCACTTACTCTGAGGTGATTGAAGTCTCTTCTCCATGGGGATGATACCCATCTGGGGAAAGGTCAAAGGATAGGGAAAAATATGATCCACCAATTACTACCATTCCCCAGGAATTTTAAGATTTTTCTTTTAAGTGAGGTTATGAAGAAGATTATTTATGGAAAAAGAAAATTTAAATACATTGATTTGTCTCCTGATAGTTTATTTACCTGTCAGGGGAATGATACACCTAGTAAAAAAAAAATATATATATATATATATATACACACATATATATATATGATTTCATTACCACTTTTGAAGAAATTCTCAATATTTTTTTCTTTGATCTTTTTCTCTCTTGTCAGATCCTTGAACTTCTGCCACACTTCCTTTTCAATATCATTTACTTTAACTGAAAAACACCATGCAGAAAGTAGAATATTTGCCCCTTAGAACCCCGCAAAAATATCTGAATGTAGAACAAGAAGCTGAGTGTGCAAGACAGATCTTCACTTGATAGAAATTAGTCTCAAAGAGCTACAATGTCCCATGACTCAGATATCTGTTCTCTGACTTAAGAATTAATCCCGTCCAACTCTGTAAATAGAACACCTCTCAGCATCCCCAGGAAAACCCCAAAGACTTGCAGAAGCTCCATGAATTTAGGGCTCCATCCATCACAGTATGGAGTCTACCTGCTCTGTGACCTACTTCCTAAATCTTGTACCTACCACTCATGTCTTGTTCTGAATCCAAAAAAAAATAGGAAACCTGGTTCTGCCATGACAGACATACACACCAAGTCACATATAATAACATGAGTTGATTTACTGTTTAATTAACCTACTGTTCTCCCCAGTACCTTTCCTGAAATAAACACACATTGTTCCAGTGGTTTTCACACCTCTCAGGGGCTCTATGTGGTCATTTGGGTTGATGTCAGTGTTCATAAGAACAATGCATTTGAAAAGTTGAACAGGACGAAGATTTAGTATAAAAGCTTCTGTTCCAAGAATTAGAATGTATTGAGAAACTGGTATAAATTGAAGACATTTAGAGTAGCTCCATTACACCATGGCTTGAAATTAAAGTTTAAAAAATATACATACCACAGAATATTTCATTTGTCCTCCAGTTATAAATAAAAAATTAAAAAGTATTTCTAGCGACACTCAATTTTTGATTTGTTAATGTCAACAGGTGGGAATTAGTTAGAAATGTCTGATGATCTGACCCTCCCCACCGCTATAAACTCCTCTTTCCTGGTAGATTACCTTTCAGGGTCTTTAATTCAGTTAACACAATAAAGCTAGGTTCTATAGACTGCATAATCCATATCACCACCTATGACTTTATGGAAAAAAGTGCTGACAGTGAAAAGGTTTCATGACAATGTCGATGTGAATATGAAGATGTCACCCTTACCAAATACTCCCGCCAACTCTGTCATCTGGCTGTCATTATCCTCACTGTGATTAGGTGCTATCAGGGTCTTTTTGGATGCATGTTTAACTTCAAACACATTTTTACCCTCATCTGTGAGAAAGAGAATATACTTATACACAACAGCACCATAATTTATTGTCAGGATGATTGATCATGGCAAATTGAGAGTGTTAGCAATAGTTCCTCTTGTATTGATCTGTGTCTTACTCCATATGTCAGCAAGGAAAGTAGCCAGGACTTTTTTATTCCAACCTTTTCATACAGTTGACCTGATAACACTTACATGGTAGTCAAATATGTATCCCTTGAAAGAAAGTGAAAGTGAAAGTCACTCAGTCATGTCTGACTCTTTGTGACCCCAAGGACTATATAGTCCATGGAATTCTCCAGGCCAGAATACTGGAGTGGGTAGGCAGTTCCCTTTTCCAGGGGATCTTCCCAACCCAGGGATTGAACCCAGGTCTCCCACATTGCAGGCAAATCCTTTATCAGCTGAACCACAAGGGAAGCCCATGTATCCCTTAGGACATGTAAAATTAGAAATGTTGCTTCGGGCTGTCATGAAGAACTTAGGGATAAAAATCTTAGCACCATCCCCATGGCTTAGAACAAAAACTGCTTTTATGGTTGAACTCAGAATGATTCCCTTGGACTCAAGTTCATCCACCAGATCTTCAATGGATTAAAATATTTTAAGACTGTTTTTAAAAAGTGAATGACAATGCAGTGTAAATTCAAAATAGACCCTTGAGACATGAGTTTGTAAGACTATTGTGAGTCATCTGTGAGAACCCTATGAAACACAGGTCTACACCATTTATTGAATAATACTTAAAATTGCAGGGAGACCTCCAAGCCATGTGTTTGAACCCTTGTCTCACAACAAACTGCTTGGAGATCTTAGAGACTGGAACCTGGTCCCCACTCTGATTGTTAGTAGCAGTAGAATTCAGGTATGTGGAGTTATCTAAGGAATTTTTGCCAAGATTTCCACCCAAACATACTCTGACCAGTGAAACACTCATACTTACAGTCAACAGCATAAGTGCCATCATCTTGCCTTTTTCCCGTGACATGTACGTATTTCTATTTTCCATCCCACCTTAAAAACAACATATGCAAGGTGGTTGAAATAATGAAACAATTTGACATATAATTAGGATTTTGTCTGTTGTATCCCAAAGATTAAATGGGAGGTGTCACCTTAGTGCCTGTGAGCAATCTGACTTTCAAAAGAGACAAATATGTTCTCTAAGATCAAGTAACTATCAAGGAACACGGATGGCTTATCTATCCATTAAATCTGAACAATACTTCCAAAGATATGGTCTTCGCTTGTGTCTCAGCTGGTAAAGAATCTTCCTGCAATGTTGGGAAGATCCCCTGGAGAAGGAATGTTGGGAAGATCCTCTGGAGAAGGGAAAGGCATTCTGGCCTGGAGAATTCCATGGACTGTATAGTCCATGGGGTCACAAAGAGTCAGACACGACTAAGCGATTTTCACTTCTTCCAAAGATAAACTGCAAATGCAAAGCGAGTTATGTTTAAAACCAAATAAACATGGAGAAATCTAGAATTTTAGGGAAAAATTAAGAGAATAAGCCTTTCCAAAAAATAATTCCTGGAAACAGAGAGGTATAGCCATCATGACAGACCTTGGGCATTCTCACAATGGCGACAATGATTCTTTAGACAATATGATGGTGGGAAAAAAATCACAAAAAAATTAGAGAAAGAACTGTTAAATTTTCTCAAAATACACACTCTTCTTGCATAACAATACCTAAGAGGATTAAACAGTGAACAACAGATGTATGTGTACACACACATTGACACATACACACACAGAAGTAAACACACAAGTACACATGATATGCTTCTATGACATAAAGAAGTCATATATATATATCTATGCGTGTATGTAAAATTTATGATAAGTATATATTATCAACTACACACCAGAAGACTTTAACTGACTTCATGTATGTGATGTGTGAAAAAAGGTATATTTGGTTCATATTAGTTGACTCACTGGAAAAGACCCTGATGCTGGGAGGGATTGGGGGCAGGAAGAGAAGGGGACGACAGAGGATGAGATGGCTGGATGGCATCACCGACTCGATGGGCATGAGTTTGAGTAAACTCCGGGAGTTGGTGATGGACAGGGAGGCCTGGCGTGCTGCGGTTCATGGGGTTGCAGAGTCAGACACGACTGAGTGACTGAACTGAACTGAACTGAAGCAGATATTAACAGGGAAATAAACCAACAAGAATTGGATTGATTTTTGAACAGACACCTTAGAAATTGTTTCTGCAATGAATTGTGTTCACTGTCATTAGTACTGCAAAAATTCATTAAATTTCCTTAAAAAAAACCCACAGAATGGGAACAGGACCATTTCCCCATTCTGCAAAATTTACAAATTTTTATATAGGCAAAGAATATCCTTTCACTTGGCTTGAAAAAATGTGACATCCTGCATAAACAGATCAGAGATAAATTTTTAAAATATTATACTGAGTGACAGAAGCTGGGGAAATGAAGCAAGACTCATAATCTGACTCATATTGTCTGAAGTTCTAGGAGAGGAGTGATTAAGCAGTTCCCTTATTACCTGTGGCTCAAGGGGTAGACATTTAATGGCAAGGAAAAGGAGATTTTTGGCAGAGGTGTAGGAATTTTACATCTGCACTGTGGAGGTTGTGAAAAAGGTGTGCATCTTTCAAAATACACAGAACTATGCCCTCCACAAGGATGCATATAATTACACATGCATTCACTTCAGTCCAGTTGATTTCAGAAAGAGTAGACTCATGAAAATTCAAGCATCTGTGTGCGTTTGCTGATGCTCAGTCCTGTCCGACTCTGCGATCCCATAGACCGCAGCCCGCCAGGCTCCTCTGTCCATGGGATTCTCCAGGCAAGAATCCTAGAGTGGGTGGCCATGCCCTCCTCCAGGGGATCTTCCTGACTCAGGGATCCAACCCAGGTGTCCCGCATTGCAGGCAGATTCTTTACATTCTGAGCCACCAGGGAAACGAAATTCAAACCAAGATTGTAAACACAGCAAAAGACAGATAATGTAATATTCTTTGAAAAATTAGTGATATCAGACAGGTATATCTCCTCGTATAGATGTGTGTGTGTGTGTGTGTATTTGTATCTGTATATGTAGTTGCAATTTGATTGCAAGTTTACTACCAACTATATACATATATGATATATAATATCAGCATTTGTACATTTATATATATGTAAACCAGTCTCTCCAAGCAGAAACCTCTTGGTTGTTTATTCTTAAAATACATACCTAAAATGCATATTTTTCAGAAACCATCTGCCGTATCATGGACATTCCCTGAGTGGTCTTTAGTAAACTCAGTGGTGATGAAACCTCCCAGGAGGAATCCCCGAGGGCAGAGCTCACTGTGTGCTCTCCCCCGGCCCTCAGCTTCTGGGCTCAGTGGGAACTGTCTTTTACGAATTCAGCAGGAAGCAGTCAAGGCCCTGGTGGGGGCTGTGGGCTCCAGGACACGAGCCTCTTCTTTCTGCCACGTCCCCCCTTTCCTTCAACGAGTTGATAGCAGTGGAGCTTCTGGGAGCCCCACCTTAGGCAAAGGTTCCAGGACATTCCCTGGAGGCTCACAGGGGGACTGCCCCCCAGCTCAGGGACCCTGCTCAGCCCCACAGCTCAAGGGGTCATGCTTTCAACACCATCCAGAGAGCTCCCTGCAGACGGGGAAGCCACACCGTCCCTCAGGCTCGGGGTTTAGAGGTGTTTTCCTTCTGCATTGTTTTACATACTTGACCCAAAAGTAGAAGTCTATGTCCTTTTCACCATCAAACACAAGCTGACGGAAGTAAACCCTGAATGGGCCGTTCTCCTGGATCTTCTCTGGGTTAGTGGACCCAATGTACACTGTTCTCCGTTGTCCCGAAAGCTAAAAGTAGAATACCTATTCGTAGTTTTCATCCTTGTCTTTTTATTTGATGCGACATTCTTCATCACGAGTTTCCCATCCCTTGTGCAGAGAGGCACAGATTATCTAACTTGAATGAGAAAAGCAGGATGTATGAAATAATGTTAAAAAAAAAAAAATGAAGTCAGAAGAAAAGAAGGAATTGAGACATTTCTGAGAGAGCTTGAGCTCTGATGTCAGATGCAACAACTCCAACATCTGTTTGGCTGATCCTCTTTCTCTGTTACAAGAGCAGGAAAAATTCATGAGAGTCAAATTCAAGAGATGATGCAGAGATGAAATAGAACAGGTATAGAGTTGAAGGGAGGTGGATTGGCTCATGGATCCATATAACACAACCACAAAAGGAACACACACACACACACACACACACACACACACACACACACACACCCCCTAATACCTCCTCCCAGATCAGACCATTCCTGGTACCTCGGAGAGACTTTGCTCAGCTTCCTCTTCTTGGCTAGCAGAAACCACACCAAGGAGAAGAGTTAGGAATAGAACCTTCCTCTGTGTCGCTTCGTGGTTTTTCCTCTGGAAAAGCTGAGGGTGTCCCAGTGGTTGGAGAGGATGGGAGTCGGTGCCACTTTTTATAGGACCGTTACATCGGTGTGATGTGTCATGAACCCATGGCTGTCCCTTCCAAGGTCATGGTTACCGAGATGTGATCTTCAATATGCTGCTTGGCAAAGGTCAGCTGTCATACCATTTTGTCACTTTAGTCCTGAGGACTGTTTTAAGAGAAGCTCAACTGAATCTGGACATTTGACCTGTAGATTGAGATATCACAATACACATTTGACATTTCAAGGTTAGGATATTTATTTTCCTTGCATCCTGAGATCCAAACTGTCCAGGAGACATAGCGCCCACTCCTGTATTGTTTCATTAACGTTGAGGCAAAGGTTTAAAATTTACTTTCTAAAACTGAAGTTGAGTGTGTGTTTTAACAAAGTTAAAAATATTTCCTTAGAGACACTTGGAAAGCCTCCTATTTCCCTTGAGTTGAGGAGCAGGCAGCCCTAAGTGTTTATCACCTCCTCCTGCTTCCCAGTGGGCTGTGTCCTCCTTATAACTAAGAGGAGGATCCATTCAAATGTCCCTTA